TAATAAGGATCTATCTGTACTTAACCAAAGCCTGGACGATGCAGGACTCGATGAACTCAAAAAACGGATTGCTGAAAAAATCGCCCACGGACTGAAAGATTTCAGCGTGACGATCAGTAAGCCCCTGACCGAACGGGAACGTGTTGAATACGACATAAGGGTATCATTGAATAAAGCTGGGTATGCGCTTAACGGATATCAGGCCACTCTTTTTCATGGCGGAAACAATACGGGAAGAAGCCATTTTTTTAAGATGGAAAATGGCAAGCTTCATAATCTGGAAGCAGCAGGCCATTTACTTGCGGGCAGAGCTATTAAAATGGATGTACAACGGGATGGATTGGATACTAAAGAATGGCTACAACTTAATCTTAATGACCGCGATGTCGATGGGAATTACAAGCTGAGGGCATTTTCTGGTGACAGACCATTTGATCTTGAAAATGCCATAAGAAACTCCCTGATGGATGTTAAGATCACACCAGATATACTCAAAGGACTTGCCTCGGAAATGGAAAAGGGCAGACTGGCAAATTATTTACATCCGCTCGATGGCAAGGAAGAAAAGATATTCCTGGCAGCCAATCCATCAAAAAAGATGGTTGAAACCTATGATTCAAATGGGGCAAAGGTGAACCTTAAAAACAAGGTTGAAGGGAAAAAAATCCGGGTCGGAAAAAAACAGAATCTCTCACCGGAGCAGAAGAAGACTGCTCCCAAAGCACGGTTACGTCCATGAAGGAGGTTCTGTGTTCATTTTTTATGGCCGTCGCGTCTGATCCCAGGATTGGGCCAAGCCATGTGAGCCTTTTCTGTGCAATGCTACAGATGGCAAAGGGAGAGCAGTTGGAGGTGGTAGAGTTTAGAAGGAGCGAGCTGATGCATGCGGCAAAGATCAATTCGGATAGGACCTACCAAAAGTGCATGAGGGACATGGTTGAATGTGGCTATCTAAAGTATACGCCTAGTTATGACCATCGGAAATTGAATAAGGTTTTATTAATGTGAACTTTTAAAAGTGTGATATGGATTTAGTGACGAAGGAAGATTTAGAAGTATTTAGGATTAAGC